AGAGGCCGGCCCAGCCCTAACCCACAACACGGGACTACCCAACTTCAACAACGAATTAGCATCAGAGATTTGTCTTATTGTCTTCAGAACTTCCCTAATTTCCTAATGTTCCTGTCACAGAAAATGAAGAGACTGGCCTTTAAGTCTGTAAAGGTATAACACAGGATAATTTTACAACTAATGAGCAGGTCATTTTTATTTGCTTTATTAAGCAAGAGGACAACTTAGCTCTCACCTCCTAAGTGTATTATAAAAGTGCCTTATTTTACTACTGCATAATTCAACAGCTCTTCTGCTAATCTTTTTCCCTCCAGCTATACTGTTCAGCTACATTGCACAGTAGCTCTCTCCTCAATGCTGGGGGGTCAGATGAACGATTAGCTATATCGCTTAAAAAAAAAAAAAAAGCCTTCAAAAATTGTCAGAAAGCAAGCTTTGAGCTGGTAAGGCCCCCCGACACCTCCTATGCAGTTTTCTCCAGAAGAGAGGATTAGAGTTACCAGACTGAACAGCAGGCGTTTAACAGCTCAAATCTAGATTCCCAGCCCTAAAAGAAGGACTCCACTGGATTTTTCCCTTCTTGAAATGACAGCTTCCTTGGCACCCAAACACATTGCTGTGTTTCCTCAACTGGAAACAAATGAACAAAGAATCCAAATAGTCTGGTGAAAGGCTTATGGAAAAAAATAATTTCCACAGCCCCTTCCTGAGATGCATTCTTTGGTTGCTGCAGATCAGACAGCTCTTCACAGCAAAGGCTTCTCTTCTACCTACTCTCAGAGTTGTTGCCTTCCCTCCAGCATACACAAGGCACCCATCTGGAGTTCTCCCACACTGCCTTGCTTTAAAAGGCTGCTTCCATTTCTGTGGCACGAAATCCCTCACAGAGCTCTCAAAGAGCTAAAAACAAGACAGTCATTCCTTTGGAGCTTTATGTCTTAAATACTATTTCATCTCTGCAAACTCAGTTTTTTGTTAGGTTTGTTGTTTGTTTTGTTTTTTATTTACAGCACGACAAACAGTCATAGTGTGAAGAGGCCTTTTACTGCAGTGACAGAGGCATTTCACAAACTGCGAGTTTAAAGCGTCTCCTTACTGATCTGTGTGCATCACAGCTTAAGGTTATATTTGACTACAGATTGCCAGACACGCAGTGTAAGAGACTGACAAAACTGTTAGAAGGTTTCTAGATTTCTAGCAGGCTACCAAAGCTCAGCACCATGGCTAAAACTGAGGCAAATATCCCTACTCATCTAGGAAAAACTGTGAACTATTATCCAGCAATTACTTCCACATTGGAATTTTTGCATCTTCGGCATTCTTTCGAGAGAACAACTTTGTTTTCAACACTGGGTCTTGCTGCTCAATGAAATAACCTCTCCTCAACTTGTATTTATCACCACATAGCATCCAGAATTGGGAACAGTAGAGATGAGATCTCCCAACAAGCACAGCACCAAGTAGAGCAGAATAATTACCTCCTGTGCCTCACATCTGATGCTTTTGTTGCTATTACTCAGAACAGGTTTTGTTTTGCTATCATTGGATTTTAACTCTTAGTCTCATCTGCTATAATAACCAGAATACCCTAATATGAAGAAAAACCCCACAATAGAGGTGAGAAGTTAGAACAGCCTTCCGCAGACCAAGGTCAGCAAGTTACTACTCACTGTTCATAAGCAAGCTCACTTCAACTTAATGAGACAAGTCTCTAGTAGTAACTGATATGTTTACCTTGTACATACAGGAGTAACTTGATACTAACTTCAGTTTGCCTTATGTACTCCTATAAAATGGTCCAAATGCATTGTCTGGCATTAGAAGTCTCTACTCGATGTTTCTTTACATTTACACACATGTACATGGGAGGCTTCTCAGCTCCTGATGTCCCATGACCTCCTCTGGAATTTAAAGAATACTTATATAAAAGTTCAGAAACTTAATGGGCTGGTTAAGAGTTACCTGCAACACAGTTTAAAATTGAAAAATGTTTTTCTTATGTACCAGCCATATACTCAGTGGCTCCATACTGCTGTCCATTTGCACCTCTTACTGGCACTGCTGTGTTTTTAGCTCCAGTTCATCTCCAGTAGGGTGCAGAAAACACTGGGATTTACATTCTGACACAACTGACTTCTCCTACGCAGCACATTAGCACTTACTTAAGGTTAGAGAACACCTGCTCTAGGACTCCTACAGGTGGTTTTTTAACCAGAATGGCTTTATATGCTTTACAAAGCTCAAAACCAGTTTGATTTTATACTAGATATAAGAACATCCAGAAGAATGTTATGTCAGCATTTTCTTACCTCAGAGGTAGGACTGTCAGAAATCACTGCCTAGCCAAAAGACGGTCAGGAAATACATTTACATGGGTGTGAGAGCAGTACACGGCATCACTTCACAAGTTTGCTATTGATGTAATAAATGAAAAAAATTTCAGAAAGTTTCCCCGTCTTCCGCTCCATAGTTTTTGTTTGGTTTTTTTTTTTATTGATCCAGCTTTGAATAATGCTGCTTATCTGGTAACAGTATCAGGCAAAAACAAGAGCAAGTGCCATTCTGCATTCCAATAAGAATCATTCAGTAAAGTTCTGCAATAGATACATTTTATGCAGCTTCTGACATTATAGGTCATCATGCCAATGGAAATTTTTAACAATACAATAAAAACCTTCAAATCAAACTGTTTACGAATGTAATTCAAGAGATCAGACAATTTAATTTCTGAAATTTATATCACTCATATCCACAGTCATTTTACATTGCACACTTCATGCTCTCAAATGTTACCCTAGAGAAGAATAAATCTTTTGATCACGTATACTATTAATGACACTAGCCAGGTTTCTAGAGCTACAGAAGACTAGAATAAGATGGAAAATTTTGTTGGTAATAAGTTATGACATTTGCTTACTAAAACAATATTCAATCTACACTAATGTTTGATCCATTCAAATACAATAAGTATCTGGTTATTATATACTACTCATTTCATATCCTTACAGTGCAAAATAAGTGAGATTTTTTTTCCTGAGCATTTAAGAAATTTAAATCCTGATGGTAATCCATTTAAAATATACTCCCTCTATACCTAGGCTTGTCAAGACTGTACAGTTAAGACAGGTGAAAGTTTATAGATATCAGAAGCCCAAACAGAAATCAAAAGGGTTACTGAACACTTCTAAAATTTGTCCCCATTTTTCAAGTCTAAGGATATAACAGGATTTTGACTTACAGCAAAAAGTTCAGAAATCACTTTGTTTTTCCATTGACCAAACATTCCCAAATGTACAAACCACATGCCTTCCAAAGTAGAGAAACTGCCTCTATTGAAACAAATTGTAATACATATTTTAACTTACTATTCTGTAGTTAATGTAATGCCCAGTGAGCTGTGCCTCCAACAGACATAAGAGAATAAACTTTTAGGAATGTATTTTGGGCATTTTGTAAGGAAGCTGGCTTCCTTACAAGTTCATCTGTTTCTCAGTAGCTACAGACCATGAGTTTCTAATTCAATCTTCTCCTCTGTCTGCAAGATATCAGGTTCTACGGGAGGAACAGGTGGTCTGAGTATAATCTCTGGACCTCCACCATAGATTGACTGAAGAAAATTCCACGTTTCTTCAGATATTTGTCCAGAATCTGCACCTGAAAACATTTTAAGAATTTTAATTACTATTTAGAATAATTATTTCATGATTTCTTTCAGTTCCATAACATATACAACCCCCAAAAATAACAATATAAATTCAAAATTAAAATCCTAAGCTGAACTTGTGCTTTATCTTGCACTGTCAAACCCAACAACATATTTTCTGTTAACTTTATGCTTACTGATTCTTGCAACTAGCTGCTCTATGTTATCTAGTACTTAATATACCTCAAGCATAAAACACATGAAGGTTCTACGACAAACATCTTATCTTTTATTTATCAATCAAGCTGACAACTGACACAGGAAATAACAATTCATATTAATATAAGGCCATGCAGTCACATCAATTACATAATAAAGTTCAAGGACTCAAGGCTCTTGTTTCCAAAGAAATACATATTGACAGTAAACAGTGAAAGTGTTAGAACCACAGGTAAATTCTCAGAACCTCAGAGAGAACCAACTATTAGGACATGAACAACCCTTCTAACGCTCCTTACACGTAGCCCTGATGGGTCAGACTGATTTCTCTTTGTTCTCTGATTAGAGTCTTTGCTTATGATTCCCCTCCCCTGGCTAGAGGTCCCCTTCCTGCCTCAAGTGAGCGTCCAACATTCATTTCTGATTTGCTGTAACCTTTTACACCAGTAAAGAGCAAGGCAGCACCAGCACACTGACCCTCCCGGTTTTAACACAAGGATCCTGTCTGATACAGCTGAAGTGATTTCTTCACACTAATGTAGGCAGAGAGGACAAGCTTCTATCCTACCAGAATGAACACCCTCTTCTTTAAGCAACTCATTAAAAACCTGTCCCACAGCAAGTTGCCCCCAATATCCTTATTAGATTCCAGCCCCTCAAACGCTCCAGGTTATCTGAACAGTCACAGCGCACTAATGCACTGGGATCAGGACCACTGGACCACAGAAATATGCAATATTCTGCTCCCACCCCTTCTCTCATGACTTGAGAGAAATTTTCCACAAGATATTTTTCTTCATTTCTACTCAGGGTCAAATTTGAATTCAACAACTGGCTAATTGACTACCAAGTACTGGTTCCAAAATTACTTTTTTTTTTTTTAATATGTCAGTCGGATGCTTTATACATCGTATTTGACTTCTACGTTGGTGCTTATATGATTAAAATGTAGTGCAAAACTTGTGAGTGAAGGAACTCAGTCTTCTTTAAATACACTCCTAACATTCTACAACTGGTGGCCTCCAGGGAACTGCCACTGGTAGGTCCACTGCATGCAGAGGCATTAAGTTAAACTGGAAAAAAAAATCAGTTAAATAAATGTTTAACTTATCACTGCCATTTTATTTTCTTTTAAGCTGAGCTTCAACTAATTTAAATATTCGTAGGAAGTATAAAGTCTTCATAAAGCAGGTCATATTTGGTTTCTTTGAAATCAAATTTCAAATAAATGACCTTTAGGCATCTGGCTGTGAAGAATAACAAAGGAATCTGTACCTTTGCACGCTAGAGAAGTTTTTGCAATGTATAGCAGGAAACAACTTCCAGAAAAATGAGAGACATTTACCTACCGTGGTTTATTTCCCTCTGTCAGAAGTAGCTCTTAATTCAAATTAGGTTTTAAGCTTCAAATAACTACATAGAGATATATGACACAGTCTAAAAAGCCAAACATCTTCCAATTTACATTAAGAAAACCCAAATTCAACCAAGTGACACAAAGCCAAAGCACACTTTGCCATTTTAAAGTTACTCTGCACCTCCTTCTACACTCTCATCTGCAATTGCCATTTTATTGTAACAGTTGAAAAAGAAATTCCAAATACATTTCCCCAGATGTCAGCAAATGGATTATAAGGAGCTCAAAGCTGCAGCACTGTTGGACACCTACCTTGTTTTAGGCCAGCATTTCCACACTTTGTCACTGCGATCTTAGCATTATCAATAGGACCAGGGGGATCTAGTGAGACAGAAAGACCATTAAAATTGGGAAAGCTGAGAAGTGGCAGTTTGGAGGTTCTAGTTTTAAATGGAAGGAAAACCAGCTTGTTTATTTACTGCTTGTTCTTGTACTGCTTAGAAGTACATTCTAAATTGTTAAAAGCTAATCAGAATTTTAATTAAGAGCAAGATTTTCCAAGCATTCATGATTACAGCAAGTCTTCAAGCAACATCAAACACAAATCACCCCTAGCAAAGTTGTCCTCGAGCAGACTCAGCTGCTACTCAGTTATCAATGAGTTCAGGCTGTGACAGTGAGGTCACCTTTCCTCTAGAAGCTGGACTGTTATCTATTACTTCGCGCAGCAAAATACCACCTCCTGGTACCGAGACCCAAATTTCCTGCCACTAATGGCAAAGCCCCTGCAAAACTACCTCACTATCCGTTTTTGTGAATTATTTTATTACGTTCTCTAATTTGGTTCCCGGATACATTCGTAACCTAGAAAATCTGTCTTGGATGTTTGTTCTAAGAATTTTTGTTACCTTCTCTATGTGCTCTTCCTTCTCCCAAGGCAGAAACAATTTACTTAATCAGTATGACTACAAGACAACAAAGATGACCCGTATTTCAAAATGGACAACAACTTACCACTGTCTTTACCCTTTACGAATCCTTCCCATTCTCTGAACCACTGCATACTGATGCAGTAAAACGTTGATGGAGATTCTTCTTCTTGGAACGCTCTATTAAGCTGAAAGGAAAAAGAACCTGTGAGGGTTTTGCCTTTTTTTTCCCCTTTAAACCCCTGAATTCTTAACAAATGTAATTAACAGCATAATATTACACTGCCACAGAACACTTCAGAGAACGACTGGCCATCAGGACACCCGACCAATTCCCAAGGTGAGATTGGGATGTAGTGGTGGCCTTCACACTAAAAGATGGCTTACTCTTTACTTGAGAATTTATTTTTTCCTGAAAACAGCAACAAGTTCTTAAGCACAAATGCTTACCCATCAAACACTACCGGATAATTATTGTGAAGGCTGAACTTCCAAGTAGCCAAAGAAAGTAGAAAATTTATTTTTGTAAACGAAAACAAAACAGTGTTTTGAAAAATTTCCTCTGTAATTTTATGCAAGGGCCTTTGTTTGATGAACTGAATCTTCATCTATGTTTGGTTATCCCCTAATACTTTGAAAAGATGACGGTATGATTCCAAGAAAGGCACAGCGAACTAACACACTAGGATTTTTCATGGATTTCTCTTTGCTTCAGTTTAAAAAAGGTGACATATTTTTATTCCTATTATAAAAAAAAATTTCATACCCTAGTGTTCTGAACTTCTGTTGCAAAGTAATGCAAGTAGCTGGTTTTTGTAATTTATACAGTCAAGTAAAAAGTCTCAGCTGCATTTAACTAAATGTCTTAAAATCATTGTGAAAAAATATTTTTTTATAACTAAGATTATACGAATTTTAACATTTTATTATTTTTCAGAGACTACAGATATTTTCACAATGTTATTAAGTCACTTAAACCTTTAAAACCATGATGGTTTAGCTCTGTAATAATATAACTACACTTCCCCCTTGAAGCCATGAACCTAAAGCATCAACACAACTTGTTAAGGTTTCTGATAGAATAAGTTTTGCAATCATTCCCCAAAGGAATTTTTACATAGGATAACAGAATTTTCTGTCTGCTAACCAGCAGCAATACTTGCACAGAAGTGCAAATATAATCGTTGTCTATACTGGAAAAATACTGATTGCTATAGTAAATGAAGTTGACTCAATGTTATTAATAATAATTACTGTCCATTGGTAACTCAGACTAAGGAAAAATCAATTACCAAAAAGTTCAAATAGCAGTTAAAATGCTGAAGAGCTGACACAGTCTCTGAACTGTGACTAAAGCACAGTTACAACTGGAAGAACAGCTGCAATTCTGTTTTTCTCCCTCTCGTGAATTAAGATAGCAGAAATGGATCTCCAATACCCTGCATTTATTTTTACGGAAAACTTGAAAACATGTTTTTGGTTTAAGAATTACAATATCATTACTACTAGCTATTTTACCATTCAGCCTCATGCACATGATCTCACAGAAAATATAGGAACTGCTTGATATTAATTTTACAGATCCGTCATAATACCAAGGTATTTACTTCACAGTGAATTATTTATGTTTGTTTCTGTGCCTCATGACGTTTTTAACATTAGAGCTAAAGATTAACTATTTGCTGACACGGTATTATTGCACTTAAACCTCATCAGACTGCACAGAATAGATCAGGGTATAAAGAAGATGTGGCTCACGTGGCTGCACTCTGCTTCCATATCATAAAAAAGCAGTTTAAGAAACGCATTAAATATTGTCTCTAAGTACATTTCCATCTGAACAGTTACCTGGAATATCACAAGAACATTACTGTTGCCAACAGGAAAGAAGGGATTCTACAGAGGTGTACAGAAGGAAATTCCCTGTGTTAGAGGAATCACCTCTGCACTTCTGGCAACCCCTTGACTCAAGTCATGAGTGTCACAGGATGTCACAAAGCAGAATGAATAAGTGTTTACTTTTTTACCCGAATAAACATTTCCAATTCATTTTTCCTTCTTTTTTCAATTCTTTCAGACTCTATTTGGCAGGTGTGACAAACGTACAGATGGTTAACAGCTGGTCCTCCTCCATATCTGCAGTAGAAGTTAAAAACCATTAACCTCGTGGAAAATACAATATATTAAGATCATGCACCTCTAGACATCTCAAGTGTCAGCTTCATATAATATGTAACTGCCAGTCACACTGATCCACAAATGCCATAATTTATTTTCCCAGTAATATTTTGTTTCTCATTCTAAGACATAAGCATCTTCGAAGATCTGACTGCCTCAAGCCACTAGAAATCCTCTCAAAGTCCCCTTCAAAAGGCATTTACTACGGGAGGAACGTGTCAACGAGCAAGTATTCTGCTATAAATACACCATGTGTGATTTTATTAAAGGCCTCTAAGAAACAGCTCAGGGAAATGTTCCAGCCAGTTCATCTTAAACATGTTCCTCCATTCCACCACACACTCCTCATCAGTTTGCTACTTCCCCGACACCAGCCTCCAAACTTCTTTATTCTCCATGACCCTCCCCTTCCATATTTGCTACTTGGAAATATTTACTAAATTTTAACTAAATATTTATTAAAACACACATTAAAATAAGGATATTCCAGGTTCTACTTCCTGGCCGAATAATTATTCTTGTCAGAGCTGTGTTCTATTCCAATTTTCTCCTCAAAAAGTTCAGATTTTGTTCCAAAAATCTTACATTAAATTAGATAAAAGAGAGAACTCTTAACTATAACAGCATGAATTCAAGTTCAAAATATGAAAGCTCTTTAAAAAGAATGAAAAATAAATATGTTTACTTAGTGAATAAAACTAAACAAAAATCTGCCATGGAAGTAATTGCTTTTTTCCTCTTTTGTCAGTCCATCAAAATAACTTGGGATGTTATTTTTTTCTCTCCAAATACAGAAGTGTTTTATTTTAAAGCATTACAAAAGTGTTGTGTGTGTTACACATGTATTATTAAAGTGCTGTATTAAAGCATTATTTCAATACGACGCACTTGTACATACAAATTTTTTGGCAGGTACTCAATTATCCAAACTTGAGAGATACCCGTTTCTTAAAACGAGCACCTACCACTTAGAATGTACCTCTGAAGATGACACTTTGTCTTTAGACTGCACTGATCCATTCGCAAGCTTTTAACTAAAATAGGTTAAGTATGAATTAGACTGTATTATCTCCAAATAACTCTGAACCCAAAGTATTTGGAACTGAAGTAATGCCATGGGAGCAACAAAATATCTGCCTGAGACATGGCTTGGCAACTGGCATCCCAGACAAACATTTCCTTATCTCAGTACAAGTCAGCTCCACCATATCTTGCTTCCTCACCCACTAAAGCCGAGGTATTCTCCCATAATTTCCAGATAACAGCAAGACAAAAAGCAAAACATCAAGTAACCAGATAGTACAGACAAATGTAGCAATAACAATTCACATCTCTCCTACCCAGCAGATTACTCTCAAAATCTGGAGGACTCTACTCTCTCTGGGACTTCTACTTTTCCATCAAATGATTGAAGTGTGACATCTTGTTAAGAAAGTTTACAGAAAAGGGAAATGAATGAGAATTTTAAACAATTTTCCTTCAGATTTAAAAACCATTTCTGTATACTGAAAATGAAGAATGCCTTTGTCAGTTGGAAGAAAAATTCACTACATCTAAGAAAGTAGAAATAAGCTGGAAACAATATTGTTTCTATTTTTTGCTCGTGTGCATTGAAACTTCAGAACAAATGAAACCACAACCCTGTAGCTATCGTGCTTAGGTGGCAGGAAATTAACAGCTAAAAATATTTAATGCAAGTGTAACACAGTCCTTAAGGTCATCAGCAAAGCTCTCCTCATGCTTTGTTTCTTTAAAAGGACACAGATCTATGCATCCCCCCTTCATAACCAAGCACTTCAACTTGCCCTACATTAAACAAGTGTGGAGCAGTCATTGGAACATTTAGAGAGAAGTTATTTTGAAGCAGTGCTGGAAGTTGAGGCTACGGATTCAAAGCCAACATAAAAGAAAAGCTGCCTCCAGCCAACAAGAGAACAGGAAGCTGATACAGAGAGCTCCTTCAGAATACTTCTTGCAAAGTATGCTTGTGCTGACCTACTTTGTGTCGTTTTGTACATACCACACGTGTCTACTGCTTTAATACTTGAGTAGTGTCCCAGTAACACACTATGTAGGCTTTCAGCATGATTTTTGCACAAGCAAATTATATAAATCAGCCGTTTGCAACCCCTTTACTTAGCTTTATGCCAAGAGTTTATATATCTCTTTCTGAGCAACGAATCCTCAAGTCTGATATTGCTGCTTGGCACATATTTGCTCTGAAACTGTAGCACTGGATTTTTTCCAGTTACAGTACAAAACTGACCTGCTATACAGATTATCCCATATATTTTGAGGTAGCATTACAACTAGGTCCTCTATGAAGTTAGCTTTGTGTGGAGGGACACCTGCAGAAGCAAAAAACCAGAACATTAGTAGGAAGCAAGGGGGAGAAGGAGATTATCTTAGAGGTCTCTAAATTCAAAAAAAAAAAAAAAGAGAGAGAGAGAGAGAGAGAGAGAAAAAACCAAACAAACCCTTTTAAAAAATTCAGAGAAATTGTGAGAAACAAATTTTACCACAGTATAATCTATTACTGTATTTAAAGCAATCATTGTAATTTTAGTCTTTTATGGGACTGAGAAGTTTATAAAAAGCAGAATAAAACTACAAGAAAGATTAAAATGAAAGGGCTAGAATCCTTTTTAGATGCCGATTTCAAAACGTTTAAGGTACGCAACAAAAAAAATAGAGCGATTAAATATTTTGTTTATGCGTGTAAACACATTAACAAACTATTCAAAATTCACTTCTTTGCTGTAGACCTTTTTGAATCACTGCAAACAGCACGAGTGCATGAAAGTAGCAAAATCTGGAGGGAGGCAAAACCAGAAGGGCTTGCAGAAACAGAAGTGTCGGGTTGAAGTGCGTGGCAAGCAGCAGCGCGCTATGCAGCGACTCTTCTGAACGGCGCAAATCTAGTAGGTCAGGTACTTGTACACCGAGAGTCACCTGCTCTAACTCTGCAAAAGGAAAGCCAGAGCCACGAGGGCTCACACATACACAGCCTGAAAATATTCCTGTGGTAAAAGTTTGGTTCAGCAACAGGCAGGCAGCACCTCTAACTGCTGACGTAATACAGCCGTACTTCTACTAAGAAAATGGGTATAAGAACACCACATAGTCATGATTTTCCCCATATGTATTTTGCTTAATGTAATTCTCTCTTTTTTATTAACATTTAGCACAAAGTAAAATTTTTATGCTCCTACACAAAGATACACAGAATTAGCACTCTATTTTCCCACTGCTATGCAGTGCATCTTCTGCATCAGACCAATTTTTTTTCCCTCTGCAGCTTTCAAACCTGCTTGTTGTTTCTAGCACACAGCTGAGAAAAATACCTAGACTGGCAGACCAAAGCATTAAGTATGATGATAAAGTGACAGGATTCTCTAAAATGGGAACATACATGCTTAGGAAACAAGCATATAAGCCAAACTGTTTCTCTTTAAGTATCAAAAAAAGCTTATAAACAAAATCCAATGTGTAGAGAAAAGGAAAAAAAATAGAACGCACAGTACCATTTCCAACTAGTCAGCTATTAAAATGAAAAAAGTAGTTTACTTAGAAGTTGCAGTTCTAATTTACCTAAGAAGGTACAGAAGTTGTAACATTCACTTAGCATTAATTAAAACAAGCATACATCCCTCTGTATTTACAAGTCAATAGAAAAATTCCTTTTAAATGATACTCAGTTACAGTCTCACCTCCATGCATACAGAGGAAGTCATTATTTGAAATTGGTCCCGGCTCTGCAAAAGTCTTGAACTTATTTAACCACTGCCTGGAAACATAGAACTGCAGAAGACTTGGTTCCATCATGTTCAGTAGCCCTGATATCCTCCGTCTCTCCTTTTGTGCTTCTTCACTGCTCTTCCTGTTACCAAAACAGGAATCATTACACAAATGTACATCCTTGGGTACGGTGTAGGTAATTTATTTTACGAAAAGTCTACTTTAGTATGGTAACGTATTAATATAGTAATGCCAATATATCAATAAAAATTATATTGATAATATATTTATTTTAATATATTTTTGTTTAGAGAGAATCGTAGAATGATTTGGGTTGGAAGGGACCTCAAAGATCATCTAGTTCCAGCCCCCCTGCCATGGCAGGGACATCTCCCACTAGACCAGGTTGCTCACAGCTCCATCCAGCCTGGCCTTAAAAACTCCCAGGGATGGTGCATTCACAATCTTCCTGGGCAACCTGTTCCAGTGCCTCACCGCCCTCAGGGGAAAGAATATAAAATACAGTAAATTACCTGGGCCATGTCTATGCTTCTAAGTTCTACTAGCACAAAGTAGTTGACTTAGCAACTTGCACCTTTTCTGCACAGCTAGGGCCACCATCTCAACGTGTGGCAGGGACCTAGACTGTCACGTTACAGAACCATGTGTCACAAGAGCCACAACATTTAGTACAGAGTGGGAAGGGCAGCAAAGACTCATTGCTCTGTTAGAGCTAAGGACAAGCATAGGTTTTAACACATGACTGCAAGAAAACTTTTTCCTGCTTAATTCAACAACTCAGAGACCCCTGGCAGCTCCTACTCAACCCACCAGCACGAGAAGGCAGATTGTTGGAGTGCAGAGACAGGAGACTCTACTGCAGAGGAGATCACTACCACAGGAGGAGGAAACGCTCTGCCCATCTGCCCATTAAGTCCATGCAGCTTTGGAGGCAAAGCTCTGCAAGCTGTACTTCTCTGGCAGACGTTCCTTATCTACCTTCACAAGTCAGGCTGAACTATAAGTAAATCAGGTATAATTCCCCTACTTTGCCTAAATTCCCCTACATTTTCTCATTAAGGCTGTTGCTGCTGTCCAAGTGGAAGTATCTCCATTCTCCTGTTTCCAGACTGAATAGAATCTCTCTTCTCCAAAAGCAAGTTTGAACTACTCATTTCATCCTCCAAAACTCTGACCTGAAAACTTGACTCAGCATCACACAAAAGCTGGGCCACCTCAGTTAAGTTACACAGTCAGAGCTGACTCACATAGTTTATAGAAAAGCTTCAGGTAGACCTAAAGGCTGTAGCAATAAATCTATTTATTGTATAGCAAAATGAGACTAAAAGAATAGGAAAAAAAACCGCTATGAACCCAATTAAAAACATTATCTGTTTAAATTCAGAGAAAAATTATTTAACAAAAACCTTAAAAGTCTGAAAATGAAGTTCAGGTAGGCAAGTCCTCTTTCCAGCTCTAATTTAAAAATGCATAAATATCTCCACTAAGCTTTCCAAAATGTGTTGAAAGAACATCTATTTTGTGTGTGTCATAGCGTTTTGTGATGCTATTCTTTTTTAAAATCCAATTTTATGAATGCTGTTATTTAGTTTAATATGTCTGCCCATAATCAGGTACCGTATTCTTTCTTGGCAATACAGCATGACTTCCTCACTTCTCCTAAAAGACCTACCTAGCCAGACTCACACAGGCTTAGCTCAGACAGTGGGGCAGGTACGAGCGCTCCTAACAAAAGTTAAAACAGTCTCACAACACATCACATTTCTTGTCCAGCTCTGACACAATCTATTTCGTGGTCAACTTGAAAATGAAAATCGAGTTAAGTCACTTTTACTGTTTCAAGTACAAAAACTTCTTAGACTGAACATGGTAACAACATGGCTTCTGGCCTTTCATCTAAACTTTCAGAAAAAACCTCAGCCTATAAAATTCCCTGAAATTAAATTACAACACAGGAAAACCTCTGTTGTTCCACATCCCATCTGTTAAGGGCTTTCCACAATTCCCTTTAGAGCTCTAACAGTTAAGAGTCTGTGTGCAAAACCTCCTCTTGTGCACAACTCCTTTCCTCTAATGCAAAATGAGGTAATTGGTGGATACTTCTAACACTTGCTTTAACTTCTGTTTCTAGTCACCTTACTATGCTTTATTTATGCATATTTAATTTTCATTTTAAGGTCCGTACGTGTTTTAGCAGTGACAGAGTAAGCGTTAAGGACGTAACTGAAGGATTAAGTCTCTATCCAGCACAGGCTTTTCTGGTTGCTCAAATTCTCCATTAGAATTCTTGTGGGGCAGCTAATTTCTGAAAGCTGCTGAACTGCTCAAAAAGTTATTTACGTACCTGACTTACCTAAGTATGATTGTATTTTGATTTCTTACCTGTAGAAGAGAACATAGGCTTCTGCGTTTTGCACTGTGGATTCGGATACTTCTGTGACACTCTGGTCATCAAATTCGTACCACAGATTATTTAAATTGTTGCGGCAATAAGCTATATAATGTCCACCTAGAGTGTTAGAAGCAAGAGCTATTAAAAAGTGTCCAGAGCTACCGATTTTACTCTGTAATACGTGAAACAGATATAAGTCTTAATAAACTCAAGTCTTACATGGGAGAAATATTAAATCATTAGCAGACACAACCTGGATATTAACTTCTCTCAAACTCATGATCAGTTTAGGGTTTTTTCCTGAATTTTTATCAGCTAGTGGAAAGCTGGACACAGCTTTCAGCATATTCTTGAACTCTTCAAGCAGCTTATTATCCAATGTACTCCTACAGCATGATATTCAAATCATAGTAAGACCTCCAGAACAATTTATCCCAATGAGCTTCCACAATGAACTCTTCAAACCTTAGTATGCTTTATAACAGAAATCAGCATAGATGTGTAACAGCTATATGGTATCAAGACCATACTTAATTGCATTTTGAAGACTATTCATAATGCATTTTACATTTTTACTATTTTTAACTACATATTCAGCTGCCAATAATTAACAATATTCATCTATTTATCCCCCAGTATATGAAGATCATCCTTAAACAGCAGTGCCAATGTGAATATCAGCTGCAAAGACAAGACCTCATACTTACTGCTTGCCGTTCCATGATGGCAGATGACAGACAAGAGATCATAAGTTACTATCTGAGCCGGACTGTCCTTCGCAAGGAAAGGCTGAAGATCAAGACCTTCCAAGGGAAAGGACACATGGGTCCCAATTTTTGTGGAAAACATAAGTTCATGTCTAAATCTTTTGAGATGAATGCACAGTATCTGTAAGAAGGATTGACAGATTCACTCAAGAACTATGCATGCTACCGTTCAATATTTAATAACTACACTGTGCGGGCTGCCTTTTCCTGTTTTAACCCCAAAAGGATCACTTTTCTTTATGGCCTAAAGCAACTATAAAAAGCTCTGTGTTGCACAGCCCTGGGTTTTTTTTTAAATATAAATAAGTAATCAATTGTAGCTAAAGAAATCAGAAATGAATCTGTAATTCTTGAAAACTTATCTTACTGACAGTACAAAAAAAAAAAACCCAACCAAAACAGTCATGAGCAGTTACTCACACCAGTGTAGCAATGAACAACATACCTTTTCCTCCATGCACCTAATGCACAATCTCATCACATGGGACATAAATTCTTCCCCATTATTGCAGCAACCAACTCATATTTATAAGCGTAAGACTGGATTGTTTTTAAAACGTAAATTTACAAGCATTATTTACAGAAAGGTTTCCAGTCGGGCTGTAGTACTTAATTCTAAGATCTGCAGTATAAGCTCTGCAGGCTGACAGTAACAACATAGAGAAACCCCATTTTTCTAACTTTTCATGTACAAGGTTCACGTTCTTAGAGGGTGAATCATCAAATGTTGCTCACGTGATTAAAACAGATGCCAATATGAAGACTCACTTTCATCATATAACACTATAAACACAATTTACTCCATGCAACTCGTTAGTCTTACCACATTCCTAATCATGCAGAAAAAGTGCTTTAAAGTGCATGTACTAACAGTACCTCAGGAAACTTTTGCACTTTGCAGAATTTCACTCCGTTTCTTAACCTAAGCAAAGAAAACAAAACGACCAATACTTAGTTCTAGAAAGGTCTTACTTTATTGTGCTAGATCAGCAAAAGTGTAAGCTGAACATTACATTAGCAAACCCAAAACATTTCTGGAATGTAGACTAGACATGGAATAGCCAAAACGATACAAATAATGACGCTTCAGAAGAAAAGACAATCTGTATCCCTGAAAATTTCAAAGCAGTGAGTACAGATAACCAAGTTCCATCTATTTAACTCTTCACATAAAGGAAAGAACTTTAAGCTTCATGAAACCTGATTATTCAGCAAAAGAGAAAAAACTAACTAAGTTTATTTTTAAGAAATTACCTAGAGCAGATCACCAGTTACATAAGCAGGGAATAACATGCCTTTTCCATAAAGGGCTTTGAGCAGTCTTCAGACCACACTTCTTGGTTCTAGTATTTAAAGCCACAGTATATTTATTTATATCACAGCAAAGTGACCTACTGAATATCAGTGAAAACGTACTAGTAATACAGAGGGCTAAAAGCTTCTATCTTATCAATCAAAAACAATTTAGAAAGGGCTAAAATTGTAAGGAACATGAAAAAGAATTAAGTCCATTTGGGTTGCGATATGGTACAGTGAGTCAGTACTTCCTGATTCCTGCACCTTTAATACTAAATTTCTGACAGCCAGAACACCAGGTAGTATCAAAAGATTAATAGTACTGTGACATATCCAACAGAAATAAACGCCTCTTGATCAACAGAAGCATTGAAGCATTGAAATTAAAACAAGTTAAAACAAATAAAGGTAGAAGCCAGCTTACTTTTTACACCTCCCACAGCTGTACATGTTATCACCTGCAAATATCAGGGAGAAGAAAACCAGTCATTACTCTCTAAATCCAGCTACCCTTCAAGCGCATACATTTGATATATAAAGATTCTTGGGAATTTATCTTTACGTTGCATTCAATATTTAACAGTCATAAGAACTAAAGAGTCATAGGAACTAAATAGAAAGGTTCTTAAGGTTTATGCTTTATGTTTTCAAGCAGGACAGCTATATCTGAAGAGACAACGCTATATAATTTAAAATAATATACTAAGTCCAAATTAAGGTTAGGAGAACGAGTATTAATATAGTGGGTTTTGAAATTTTTATGAACCTTCAACTGATGGCATTTCATTAAACCAAATTCAGATTTACTTGAGATTTCTAAAGCAGCTTTCACAGGCAATTCATGCCTCAAATATTCAGCGAAGGCAGAAGCTTACCTTTTTGAAATGAATGATTCCGTAAGAGCAAGGAATTACCTTATTACAGTCTAAGAGGTAGCCTTTGCTTAATTACGTGAAGCGAAAAAGATATTAAGCGTCTTATTGTGATAGGAAGAAAAGACCGCAGAAGAAGCAGGTTCATGTAATTAACCTCTTACCCTTGAGCTCATCTCTGGCGAAAAAGGCAGCAAGACAATCTTGTAACGTTACAACTGGACCCCAAAACCAGCTAGGAACACATGAGACAACAAACCTGAAACATCATTGACAGAAAAGAAAGAAAACCAACAAATGTTCTGCCAAAAGAGCAGAAATTGGAATTTCAAAATAGATAAATAAATAAAACAAGGTAAAAATTACTTACCTTTTGAAATATTCCATAAAAAAAGCTATCCATCCCTGGGGGGCGTACGCTTCTCCACATGACCCTGCCTTGACCAGAGATGTCTGATGGCTTGCAGAGTGGAGTTTAGCAAGATCTTCCTTACCAGGAATAGGCAAGGACAGATCCTGAAAGGTCTCCAGGGTTACAGACAGCTAAAGAAGAAAACAAATGAAACAAAATAGAGTTAAGCTTGAAGAGAAAGAGTAATCTAATTGAATTCTGTAAAGTTCACCAGTAATTACCAAGTCACTGTACAACTGAGAATTCCTCTAGGTAGCACATTAATTATAAATAACAAGATGTTAAGAATTCATTTTCTTAAAAAAAAAAAAAAATGAAAAAAAAAACATTTTAGAGTAAGCTTGCACGTTGTGTTATCTCTGAAACTTCTTTTAAGTCGTTATTTGTCTTCCTGCTAGTCATACAAAGCACTATGATTTTTGCCTCAAGCTCCCGATATATAAGCCAGTTTCAGAAAGCTTCAGCCCATTTTTTTGAGAATCTTTTCCTGTGACATTACCTTGACCAGATGTAACTGTACCCACTACAAAAGAGACCCAGCTGTGCACTTCCTTTCCCTCATGCTGAATTTAGTGACCACAGTCACAGACTAAAACATCAAGCAAATTAAAAATGATTTATTTTTTGAACTTGCTCACTAGATTAGCCTGAGGTCTTGGTATTTTTAGATCTACAAGTGAGACTGTAAGGGCATGCAGCTGCACCAGGGTTAAGTTTAAACCCTAAGTTGAGAAACTTGTCCCTAATGCAAAGATTTGGATATCCAGTATTTTATACTACTGCTTTGCAACTGAAGTGGTCCACTGGACATATTTAGATAATTGACTTTTTTTAAATGATCACATGTACTGTTCTAAATAATTCTATGAGCAAACAGCACAGAAAAATATCAACTGTTCCTGTGTTGCACCACTTCTTATAGTAGGGGACAACTTCTGAAAGCAGTTAAAGTTTCTTATCATCTGTAAAACTAAGTTTCTTTAACTGGATTTTTGAAAGGCATTAATTTTCTTAGCTTCAACCTACGTGATAAGACTGTTAGAACAGTATGACTGCACTACTGTCTTTTACTTTTCATTGTAACATCATGTTACAAAGAACCTAAGTCAGTAGCAAGTATATATTACGATATTCAGAACATTATTAAAAACTAATCATACTTAAGTGAGGTTGAAGAGCAAGCCTCTTCCTCTATCCTTGCTGTAAGTCAATACTCAGAATGTTATTTTTCAGCTCTGGGTAAATATCCAGCTCAATGAACACAAGCTAGTCTAAACACAAAGTGCTGGTAACAGCTGCTCTTACTCTTTGAGTAAACAAGTAGGAAACATGAGGAAATCCACCACAAAAGAACAAAGTTAACAGAAAATGACTGTATTCATAAAGCTGTAAGTATCTGTATTTGGAAAACAAACACAAAACCTCCTAAAACTTCCCCCCTCCTTACTCACCCTATCACAAGTCAAGCACTGTACTGAGCTTATGATAGTCCCATCAAATATATCAGAGATCACACTCCTGTACTTCTTGCGCTTCTTTCTTTTTGGTGATGGCATAGTTGAAACTACAAAATGACAAAAATAAAATGCTGGAAGTAAATCAAGATACAGTGGATTCCAGATTTCCTTTAACTTTCCATAACATTAGAGATCATCCATATCTAGATTAAATTATGAGCTAAAACTTGTTTTCTATTTACTAAATATTTCTTAGAAATTACACAACCAGCTCACTGCTAGTACCAGGCAATTAATTTAGATTCCTCAAGCAGTTGATGGGGGGCATACATGCGCTCCCCATCCGAATCCACTACGAATTAGGTGAAGACACAAGGGCAGTCTCTTGGGCTCTGCAGACTACCGGAACTGCAGGCCAAAATAAAGACCACAAAACCTCCTCTGCAGTCAGTATGTTACCCAAGAGACCACTCAAAAAAATCTTGTAGGAGTAGAAGGAAAACTCTGCCAAAATCCTGACAGCCATAACAAGATAAGCAGTGAAACATGGAAATAATTACAATGAGAAGGAAACTGAATTACTCCAATAAATCTTTCACACCGAACACAACCTCTTAAGGCTCCTTTGTACATAGAGAGTTTGCCCATAAGCAAGTAGCCTTGTCTCTTTACTGTCCAGCAGTACCATATACTGCCTCTGAATTATCCCATAGCTAGAAATACGTCTAAAATAATAAAGAAGTCTGAATTCAAAAGTATCTACAGCAGAATGAACACCTGCTAGAAGCAATCTGAAAAACTCTATTTTCCACAATGCATCAGATATATTTTATTTATCATGGACACAAACTGCCTCATACAACCTTTTGCCCAGAATTCTCTAAGATTCCTTGCAATCTCTTATTTTGTCACTAAACTGCTTTACAATGGTTCTAAAGTCTTAATCAGCGGTGTGGAGGATGTACTGTATTTATCCACAACAACAAACTGCAGGAAGAAATGGAAGACAGTGACAAGCAGGGACACAGAATGTTTGAGGTTGGAAGGGACCTCTAGAGATCATCTAGCCCACCCCCCCTGCCAGAGCAGGATCCCCCAGGGCAGCCACACGGGAACGTGTCCAGGCAAGTTTTGAAAGTCTCCGGAGAAGGAGACTCCCCAACCTCTCTGGGCATCTTAGAATTGTGGCACCCAAGAGAAATCGTATGCTTCAGCAAGGGTGAAATGACAGAGAAGGGACTAGGTGTGTTGTAATTAGCCTCCACACACAAGTCCTAGCACACTAGGGAATTCCCCTAGCATCATGGGGAATTAAAGAAAAATAACTCCTTGTGAGCTTGCAAACGACCGCCACACTACTCGCCTAGTCAGTTCTACTGCAGACTTATCTGTTCCTTCAATACTCAAAGATAATCAAGAGTTAATTTATTAGGAAGTGACAAAAACCAGTAGTCTAGATCGGAAATTTGGATATCATCTGGTACAGTCTCTGTTCAAAGTCACTGTAGCTGAACTGTGGAATATCCAAGAACCTCAGGATACTTGTGAGCTCCTGCCTCTGATCCAATACTCAACCACTTATTTATTAGATTCCATCTTAGAGAAATTGTCTTCTCTGCAACTCACTTCCACTTCTGTTTGCTGCATGGCTTCAAGAAAAGCCTGGCTCTGCCTTCTCTGTAACCACCCATAATGCTGACGACGACAACATCCCTCCTCAGCCTACCCTCCCGCAGGCTGAACAAACCCGGCTCTCAGCCGCTCCTCCAACATGACAGGCTCCAGCTACCCAGTACCTCTTCAGATAATTTGCTTCAGTTCATCTAAAACCTTCCTGTAACGGTGAAGCCAAAACTGGAGACAGTATAAATGCAGTGTCAAAACTACTGAACAAACAAACCATAGATGTCAATGATTTAGGTCCTTTAAATCAGTCATGCTAAAGCATTAAAAGGATAACACAAACACTTTCACAACTTGTCCTGGAAAGCCTGTTGAATGAAAGAGGATCACAGTACAGTTGTGGGAGTTTTTTGGTTTGGTTTAATGCTAGCCTTAAAGTATGCTCCCAAAGACAAGCTAAGGAAAAACAAAAAATACCGTTTCCTGCGCTCTAAAGCTTTCACTGTCTTGTATCTACAGGCAGTAAAAGTCTCAATTTCTGGATGCTGATACATGCATCATACCAGGGAAAGTGCCAAAAGAAACACTCTACACTGCAGAGACCCCAACAACCAGGGCACAGCTGGCACGTACAAGGTTATCTGCAGGAACGGTGCACGTGGCTCCTTAAACTTCAATAGACTAAATCGCTGACTTACTAAACCTCTGCTGAAGAATCAACGCGCTTGTTGTCTGAAATGCATTCCCAGCCTAGGGGTACAAAATTCTCACCATTCCCCTCTCTCCAAACCAGTGCAACTGAGCATGTTGTCTAAAAACAACATTAATCCATCCTGCTAAAGCAATATTATTCACGCTTCAAAAGAATCAAAATTTTACAGAAGTAAAGGGAGTCTTATCATACATCCACCTTGCCTAATGCTCCCCCTCTGCACTATGGATAAGGGATATAAAAAAAAAACCCAACAACACACAAAA